CCCTGGGCTAGTGAAGGGACTGGCTGGAGCCTCCATCCCCAGCCCTGGCTGCTCCTCCTCCAGTGGGTGCCAGATGGCCTCAGGCTGGGCGGCTGCCTGAGCTCACTGCCTGACCTCACCAGGGCGGTGGTCTCAGCAGTGACCCCAGCCTGGGCACAACGCCTGGGCTGCTCCACTGACCACCCCTGTGGGGCTGGAGGCCGGTCGCTGCCACGCCAGGGGCTGTGCCTGCTGCAGGAATGTAAAGGAGCTCTTCCTTAGGCGGGTGAAAGCTCCTGGGCTTCTGCCTGGGCTGACTCTGGTGGCCTCTGGGGAGCTCAGGAATGCTTTTGTTCAGTTGTGCTCTCCAGCTGCCAAAGGGTGCAAGATGAGATGATACTCCTCACTTTGCATCCCTTCGCTGCCTGCATTATCCTTTACCTGCCTGCATCTTGAGAATTCAAACATAGTGGCTGTCTCTGTGTGCTGACCAGGAAGGAGGAATTTTTATTTTCCCAGAGTGGCCACAGATGCAAGTCCAGGTCAGGGAAGAACTTGCCTGCCCAGACGAGGAAGTTTTGGCGTAGATTAAGCGTGTCCCCTCCTATGGAGTGGCAGGAAGYGGATAAGGCAGCTGAGTTAAATACTCAGTGTTTTTACCAGCTAGGTACCTAAGAACAGAATTCCTGTGTAAGCCCCATTTGCAATGAGCTCTTCAGAACAGAGATGGCTGAATTTGGGGCCAGAGGAAGGGCTGGGCAAATTTTCAAGCTCTCCACCAGTGACATTTGTTTTGTTCCTGTGCCAGAGGTTTAACTGAGATCCCCATTAAGTCCTTCTCCAACACCTTCCTGCTTACATGGTGTATTATATGAGTGCCTATGCTGTAAATAACAATGATCAGGATAATAATCAAGAGGGCTGTTTAACAGGGTTGTGCTGTGGTTGTGCATGTACTTCTTAGGTGCATGTGGCTTTTGGGGGTGGTGTTGAACAGGACAGTAAGTCCTCTAGCAGTGGGCTGTGGCTGTAATAAGCACGGATCATTAGGAGCAACAGTCAATAGACCCTTTCTGCCAGAACCAATGAAAATGTGTTACAAAAATTTGAGCCTTCCAGCCATTTGGAAAAAGCTTCGGGCTCCACACTGTACTGCCAGCAGAAAAGGATGCAGTGTTCCCACACACTCCGCTCCGCCATGTGAATGCATCCACCACCTTATTGGGACCTCACATGGGTCCAAAGTTTCTGAAGTCCAGGAGCTCCAGGCTGGGTTTTGATCTGGGGCAGGATGATGTGTAGTCTGCTTTGGGTGCTATCTGTGGAGGACAGCAGGCAGCCAGACAGGAGCAATTTGTGGCTTCCCAGAAACAGTGCCTGGTATTTTTCTACGCCCCTTCCCTTCTGCAGGGAACAGTTGGAAGTGGCTCCTGTTAGGGAGCTTCCTCTGACTAGCCTGGAGTGGGAAGACATGGCAGAAGACACAGCCCACACTCTGCTGTGGGTATTTTCTACCTCCCAGGGCTCATGGATTAGGTGGACATCAACAGCACAGTCCTTTTGACCTGGCCTGGGTCAAGAGCCCTTCCAGATGCTTGCCCATCTTTCTCTCAGCACCAGCACATCAGACCAGACATGAAGCCGTGGGGTGGCTCTGAGCTAAGTGTCCTGCCTTGGCTGTAGGGTCAACATCCCTTTTGAGGTGGCTACAGCCTCCTGCAGGCTAGCCAGGCATCCTTAGCTTAGCCAACAGTGTCATTTTTCTGGGCCAGCAAGCTTGGGACCTCTACTGAGAGGTGATCTCTTGAGTTGTGGAGAGAAGGAATGGAGCTGTGCAAGCCACCCATCTCCTGCTTCCCACTGTCCTTCATCTGGGGACACTGAGCAGGGCCCTCCTGCCCATGCCCTATGCCCACAGAGAGGCAGCTCTGCCCCTGCAGACAGCCGCCAGGCTGGCAGGTGGGTGRGAGTAGGCAGGAAGGGGCTGTGTGGCAGGCCAGAACCTGACAGTGAGGGAGGAGAAACTCCAGCCTCCTTCCTGAGTCTCAGACACGAGTAGGGCTCATTTTGGGAAACTGGGTGTTGCTCCTGCCAGCATCTCCTCAGGCACGGAGGCACAGCAGTGCCAATGCTGCCTGCCRTGAGCCAGTCTGGGGCAGAGAGAGGTTAATGAATGATCTGGTGGGTGCAGATGGGCAGGCAGGTGCAGGAGCTGACATGACTGTCTGGTCCTGGCTGCAGTGGGCAGCTGCAGGTCGATGTGGATGGGTCAGCCCTGAAGAGAAGGGAGGGCCTGCATGGGTGCTGCATGCCCTGGTTCTGCCTTTCCCTCTTGGCACCGGGCAGGCCCCTCACCAGCTGCCCAGAGCTTGTCAAGAGTTTCTGTGTCAGAGACCTCTGCCCTTCAGTTTGTCAAAATTGGCTTATTAGAAGGGACTGCGTCAGCCTTGTTGCTGAAGGAAATTAGGTAGTAAAAAACATTAGAGGGTGGAGAAAAGGAATCCCTTCAATGCATCCATGGAGTTATCACTGGGGTACAAACATCAAACTGAACACTGCTGCTGAGTCACAGATGAAGGAGTTTCATCACTGCCATCCCAAGCACATGTTTCCACTTGAGGGGGAACACAAAGATGTCAGGGAGAGTGAAGAGGATCAGTTCCAGGTCCAGAAAGCACTGGACTCGGGTTGGGAGCTGGGCAGCTTTTAGTACACATCAGTTGTCTGCAAGAGCACAGGGCTCCAACGGCTCACATTTCCCCTTGCTGTAAGGGCTCCACATTAGTCCCCAGCTCACTTGCTGGTAGCTTGCAGGGAGAGGAGGGACAAGGTGCTTGCAGTGGGTAAAGCTGCTGACCATGTGAGCACTCTGAGCTGCTGCAAACACCCATTGCACAGCTAGTCCTGGGGATTGGACACCCCTTACTGTTTTTCTGACTAAATCCTTGCTGCTTGTGCCCTTCGTTATTTKTTTTTATTTGTTAGGATTGCCCTAAGAATATGTGCCTCACTTACCTGTTATTGCACAAGTAATGAGCTGTGCCCCTCTTGTGTTAGTGGGGGGTTTCCAGCACCAGTGTGAAGCCTCCCTTCCCTTATTACTGTAGGGCAGCCCAGGGAGATACCCTGGGAGTGCCTTCCCCAGGGTGAGGATGCCCGAGGGGATTCCTGGGACAGAGTGCAGCTGTTTGGGCTTAGTCACTGCAGACTGTCTTCTTTCAGACCTTGAGGCAAAGGATGCACTTCTGCTGCATCTTGTATTGTTTCATTCTCTGGGGAGCAATTCCCAGTTTACTCAATCTCTTGTGTGTCCCCTGTCTATCATCCTCTCAGAATAGAGGAGTCCTGATCTGTGCAGGCAGTTGAATCCTRCAGCAAGGAATAAAACCCCAAGCATATGAGCATCATGGGGCAAAATCCCATCCTGGGGATGGTTAGCAGGTTATTTATATTGGTCTGGGCACTTAGGAGGRTATCAAGTTGGAGATGCTGATCCAGTGCTGTTCTTGTGGAAATGGAAAATACACAAAGGGCCACTTCAATAAATAAGTGGCCGTGAGAAACTTCCCATTTTTTGCTGGGAGAGTGCAAGTTCATCTTGACAAGGAGGAATAGGAGACTGGTTCCTGTGGCTGGCCTGGGCACCCAGAGACCAGCCTGTCCGCTCAGTCACCTCCAGACCCCCCATCTGAGATGTGTGTGACAGTCTGGCGCTGCCATCTGCCACTGAGCATCTCCTCTGTCCCCCCTGCTGGGCATCCTCAGGCATCCCTGGGCAGCAATGGCATCCTCTTCTCCCTCCTGGTGCTGCATCTGGGCTTCAGGAAGCAGTCGGTCTGCAGGGAGAATCCTGTTTGCCTTGTTGGGGGCGTATAAGTGCTTTTATTTTAATCCTGAGCCTTTTTCACTCCTGTAGGAGGGGATGAGCTGGGTTCACTGGCATAGAAGTTGCAGGAGATGCTGTTCAGGGACAGATTTCAGCTGCTCTGATGCTTTTCCTTCTGCTSCAGTGAATTGCCTCATGGTCACTTGCTGGTCCCAGCACAGACTTGTCATCAGTGCCAGACTGCTGGGATCCAGGGATCAGGAGACTGGGAACCTCAGGAACTTTAAACTGTATTCAAATTTAGTCAAGAAATAACCCTTTTGCACTCTGGTGGTTGTACTAAATGTCACAAGTCATCTAAGTTTAGACTGTCACCAGCTTGCTCCTATATATAACTGCACAGGGTTCCTAACTGCAACCTGCCAGCAGAGGTTATGCTGGGGATTCTACAAGAAGACAAGTGCCATGAACAGAACCTAAATATGGTCCCTTTTTGTTGTCAGCACCATCAGTGGCAGTCAGGCAGCACCGCTTGGCAGTGTTCCCCTTGGCTTTGCTGGCTGTTTGGTGTGTGCCAGCAGATAGGAGCTGGTTTGGTCCCATGAGTGGGGCTGCAGGCTGAGGACCCTGAAGATCCCAGCACTTGTCAGCCACATCTTTGGTATCACTGCTGAAGTGCCTGCCCAGCCACATGGTGCCTGTGCTGTGTGATTGACCTTGGCTTTGGAGTTGGCTCCTCTTCAAGCATTCCTGGCTTTTGCTCTTGCTTTCTCAAGGCGGGATGAAGTATGAATTTGTCACTTATTAATCTCAGYATGGATAAGGAGGGGCTTCTCTGCCTCATTTATGTGTCATCTCGCCCTTTCTGGGGGTAGAATGATCTTACACTGGTCTTTTCCCACAAAAACATACAATTCCCTTGTATGTAGAAACCCAGACCTAGACCTCTGACTCCTCCACGCCYTCAGACACCTTCCTGTCCTGAGCGCAGGGGTCACACAACAACCTTGTGAAGTCCCCCACAGTGGGATAAAGCCATGGCTGTAGGCAGCAGCTGGGCAGGGGATTTCTTTGCTTATTTGCTTTCATCCTGCCTGCTGCAAAGATCTCTGGGGCTGGGGAGGAGGCTGKCTGTGCAAAAGCAAGCTCCACTAGCTCCTGGAGACCTGACAGTTTGGTACCCCTTCCCTTCCAGAACGGGAGTCCCGAGAGCATGAGGAGCCGACCACGTCGGAGATGACAGAGGAGACCTACCCGCCCAAGGCCTACCGGCCCAAGCACGGGCGCCTCTCTGAGCTCAAGGCTGAAGCCCTGAAGAAGGACCGCAGGAAGAAGATGACCCTGGCCAAGTTCGTGAACATAGCTGAGAACACGGCTCATCCWCGTGTTGTCATGCCTGAGCTCCGACAGGAGTTTGAGCTGGTGGGTGCCTTCACCTTCCCTCCATGGGACTGTGGGAGAGCTTTTACCTCTGGGAAATGGGTGCCGTGTAGGGGGAGGAGCTGGGGCTTCTGCAGCTGGAAGGTTTTGTGAGGTGCTCCTCTTCTCACACTTGATCTCCCCACTTGTAGGGCCCGTGCCGCAGGCAGATGGAGGCGTCCCTGCAGGAGCTAAAGAGCAGCCAGCGGATGGTCCCCCGTGCTGTCCACCTCCCCAACTGTGACCGCAAGGGCTTCTACAAGAGGAAGCAGGTAAAATGTTCCCCACCCATGAAGGCTTTTCTCTGTTGCTGCCCTGGGTGGGAAGGATGGAGGTATTTCCTCTGCTGGGTTAGTGGGGATGTTGCTGCAAGCCATCTCCAGACACATTTGGTGATGGGCGGCCTTGCCAATGGCTCCGAGTGCTATCTGGCCCCAAGAAAGCATCCTGAAGGAGCCGGTGCGGGATGGGGAAAAGTAAGAGAGCCCTGGGCTGGGGTAGCAGCAGGGATGGGGATGCGTGAAAGCAGAGAGCAGGAGACAGATCCTACCCAGGGGATTGCATTGCTGGTGTGAAAGGGACAAGGCCTGATCCCCAAGGAGGGAGCCACCCGGTGTCTGGTGGCCAGCTCCTGATCTCTGCTCTTGGGTGTCTCCCCAGTGCAAGCCCTCCCGAGGCCGGAAGCGTGGGTTGTGTTGGTGTGTGGACAAGTACGGCATGAAGCTGCCAGGGACTGACTACCTGAGTGGAGACCTGCAGTGCCACGCGTTYGACAGCAGCAACGTGGAGTGAAGCCGCATCCCCCCCCTCCGCCCCATCACTATCTATCCAGACTCCCTTCCACCCTCCCCTCCGCACCTCCCCATGCCCCAGGACTCCGATTCCTTTCATCTCATGTAAGACGAAAAAAGAAAGGAAAAGAAAAAAGAGAAAGGAAGGAAAATGAAAAAAACAGAAAGGGAAAGAAAGAAAAAAGACAAGTAAGGAAAGGAAAAGTAAAAAGAGAGAAAAGAAAGAAAAAAGAGAAAAGAAAAAAGAGAAAAGAAAAAAGAAAATGAAAAAAAGAGATGAAAAGAGAAAAGAAAAAAGAGAAAAGAAAAAAGAGAAGAGAGAAAAATAAACCCTGAAGAAACTGAGGACTCGGAATCTACAATAGCCTTTTGACAACAAGGACTCAGCAAGGAAAGGATAGAGCCAGAGACAAACCAGCCATGGCCACTATGTCGTCCTGCACCTCTCCCCAACACAGCCTGTGCCCCTCTGCCACAAGCAGAGGTCACCCTGATGTAGGAAGCTCTCCGAGTCGGTGATTTTCCAGTACGGGTTTTGGGCAGGTTCATTTTTTATTTTTATATTTTTTTCGTGTTAGCTAGTTGATTCCTGAAGGGTCTTGAGAGGAAATCTTGCGGCCACCAGCGTTCCCCTTGCAGTACTGTGGAGTGTCCTCCCCATGTTGCTGGGACTCTCTTGAGCTGATTTGATTTCTATATCAAATGACTGCCCCAATCTAGGCAGATTTCAACAAGGGAGGAGGCATGGGACTGTTGGCTTTGTGTCTGGAGATGAGCTGGGGAGGGAAACACAGATCCTGCAAAAATACCCCCAGAAAATATCTGTGGACTTCAAAAAAAATCATCCAAAAAGGAAACACATTCTTCCCTGTCCACTTCTTCTTGAATGGAAGGTCAGAAATCTTCTTGGACAAGCAGGACTCTGACTGTTGTCCATCCAGGTGTGAAAGCATTCATCACCTGCATGCACGTGTATGAGTGTGTGTGTGCATTGACATGGCTTTTCCTCCTTGCAACACTTCACCTTGAAACCTGCAATCCGGAGGTTTCAATGTAATATGTAGTCAGGGGGATATGCTGCCCCTCCCAAAAACATGCTGGATGATGTGCTGGATTAAGCACAGGATTAGAGTTATGGAGGAGCATCGGTGCCTGTGGAATCAGGGCCCCATCAACAATGAGGGCTGCATCACTGTCCAGACTGAAGCATCCCTACATAGGGACAGGGGAATCAGGGCCAAAACTCTGCACCACCCTTTGCCACCACAAAGACGACCAACTATGGAGATTTTTAATTCTTTTTTTTTCACAGCCAAAAATGTGGTTTGCTCCAGGGGAAAAAAAAAAAAAAAACCCAAACCTCCACTTTGTTTCATCGTGGTTTTGTGCTAAGGTTGGTTCATAGCTTTCCCAATGGATAGGAAAATGCCAGTTTCCATCCTTTTACACTGAGGATACCGCTCATGTTGCCACAGCTGATTCCCACCACCCTGCAGTAAGATCCTGTGATGGGCCCTTGCCTTTAACCTGGGACCCAGCTCCTTGTTGAATGACGGCAGCCACCGCATCATGGAGACCCACTGCCTCAGGCATGCTGGGACAGCCCTCGGCTGCCTTCCTGACTCAATTGTTGTTTTTAATGTTTGCATTTGATTTTGGGACTGTTGCCTCTTGCTTATCCTTGACAAGGGTCTCCACGATGTTRGTGCTGGGAGGAGATCCTACAGCGAAGGAAAGGAAAAAAAGGAAAGGGAGCTGTGGGGTCTGGGTGCTGTGATGGGCAAACACACCCACTGGGAACCACATCCTACTGCCACGGCTGGAGCTGGCAGCTAGCACCGGCCAAAGGACACAGCTGATCTCAGGGGGAAGGTTCCTGCATCCCCAAATGCCCTTTGAGCTTCCTGGACCTGGGCAGAGAAAAACAGAGGTCCACAGCACCACCGGGACSCCACCAGTGGGGATGGGACTTGAGGGATTCAGCACTAAAGGGTTCTGGTGAAGGCTTCTTGCCCATCACAGGWTGGGAGCCCTCATAGCCTCCCACAAGATGACATCACTGTCCTAAGCAGCCCATGGGTCCCCCACCAGGATGCTTACCCTGATGGAGGCCAGGACTGCACACCTGCRGTTATTTCCCTCCAAGTGACAGTGGGGCGAGTTTTGCGGATGGACTTCCATGGAGACCCAGCGGAACACATTTCAGCCTGGGGACAAAGCACCTTCCCGTGCTGAAAAGAAGGAAGTGTGCCACCAAATGTAGATCCGCTCCCAAAGAAGCCTGTTGGAGAGGGATAACCCTCTTGTTGCTGGAGGGGAGCATGGCAGGGGCTGAGAGAGGGACCCGTCCAGGCTCTGCAGGGCTGATGGAGCAGAGTTGCTTTAACCAGAGTGGTGGGTTAATGCTGGGATGCAAGTGGGGAGAAAAATGGGGTGGAGACAGCAGGAGGAGGAGAAGGAGCTTGTACTAATCCCATGGGCCAYGGGTTACCATTCTTGACACTGTCCGCTTGCTGATCCCTGTGCAAAAACTCCTGACTGTTATAGGCCAGTACCACCTTTCCCAAGACCCACCCTTCCTTCTTTCTTCCTCTTTCTTGCTTTTTTGTTTGTTTTGTTGTTTAATTTCCCAAAACTTGAAAGCCTTTGGCTGCAGAGAAAGGAGATTTGCCCCCCGGGGTGGGATGGGAGCAGGCAGAGGGCAGCAGATCCCACRAACCTTGCCTTTTGGGGAGGATGCTTTTGCAGGGTGAGCGTTAGCTCACAGGGCCCCATGGCGGTGTCACGATGAGGCCATCACAGACACTGGGACAGAGACAGTGCAGTRCTCTGTCCTTTCCCTACAAAGAAAGTCTGCTTGGCCCAGGGAGCCAAGTACCAAAATCCACCCCACAGAGCCTCCCTTACCCCTGAACATCCCATGCTATGATGGCATTGCCCGTTCTGTCCCCACAAACATGGGGGGAGGATGATGGACACTTGGGTTGCAACACCCTTGCCCCCCAGATCACCTCAGCTCCCAGGATAAGGCACCGTGACCCCTCACCCCACCCCAGCTGCCCACTCTCTCAAGGATCCCCAGCAGGACGAGGCTGTTTGCAGGCTGCACTAATATTTAGGACTGGGGTTGRAGCCTGGGTCAGGCTGGGAATGAGAGTAACTTGAGGAGGAGTTGGTCACCCTCTGGGTGAGGAGATGCTCCCATTCTCAGCACCCAGCAGCACCCTTTTGCATTTAGGGTGAGAGAATCAAAAGGGGCAGATTTGGAAGCTGGTGAGGGTTGAGGCACACCAGGAGATGCTGGCAATTTGTGCATTGGTGGGTTGTGAGGCTCAGGGGTCTCTGGCTACAGTATTTGTGCCAAGCCCACATGGGTATCGAGGATGCGAGCTGGGAAGGAGAGGACAAGGATGGCTCAGGACAGCCCTTCCACCACATCTGCCTGGGGAGTGGCACTCAGTGGCTGGGCTACCCCTTGTCTGTACTGCAGTGGACTTCGAAAACCACTAGTACAAGAGCATTTTGCACTATTTCTCCGCTCTCTCCCCCCTTCCCTTTTTCTCCACCTTCCCCATGAAAATTGTTTTTTGCTGTTGGTTTGGTTTCTTTTTGTTGTTGATTTTTTTCCCCCCAAATGGAGCATTGTATATTTAAAAAACTGTCAGTTCACCTCGCTTCCAGACCGCTGTCCTGGCCCTGGCTAGGAGCCCTGCCTGCTGTGGCCCCCTCCCCAGCCCACCAGACCCCACCACTGCCACCGGGACAGACGTCACCGTGCACGTTACCCACCGTTGTAACACAGTTGTTAAAACACACCAGATTCCGAGTTTCCTGCCTGGTTTTTATCTTTAAGCAATACTCACTACACATTTTACGGTAGCTTTTTATAGCTTTACATACATACGGTAGCTCTGTTGTTTCGTTTTGGTTTTGTTGTTTTGTTTTTTTTCCAGTAAACAAGAAATACTCATAATCTTACTGGTGGGAAAAAAAAAAAAAAGCAGTTTKTGAAAAACTGACAATGGAAGAAGAGCTTAATGCTCTGTTTAGCATTTTGTACTTAAAAAAAAAATCTCACATTTTATTAAAAAGTGAAGATTGCTGTATACTATTTATTCAACTTATAATTTATGTTACTCTTTGATCTTTGTCTTTTCTCATGACAAAGCATTTATTTAATAAAGTTATGCATTCAGTTAGCCTTTGCCTGACCCTCGTGGAGCATCTGTGTGCTGGGGCCTGCCAGCGAGCTGCTCCAGCTCCAAGCATCCCATGGCCACCTGTGTTGGGTCTCTTGGGGGGCTCAGCCAGCTCCACAGGGCTGCTCAGGGAGCTAAAGGGCATGGGGTAAAATGGTGGCAATGCTTTAGGGGAGCTTTTCATACTAGAGTAGTCTGMTAGGTGAGTGGTAAAAGTTTCAAGTTTTACTTTACAGCTTCCTGAAAGCAGAGCTACCTTTTTGTTTTTTCAGAATTTCCTTTGCGTGGATGTGGCAGTGAGGCACAGCACACACTCTCCGTTTGGTTGGCACCTGACAACCAGAGACATTCAGCCCCTAAATGCTATCTCAAACTTAGCTCCACAGCTTAGAATCAGATGTGCTATTTGAGCCTCAGATCCCTTGGGGCTGCTGGAAGATTTGCCCCAGTGTCCCATTGTTCAGGATCATCCATGGAGCTGCCCAGCCCAGCCAGGCCGTGGTCCTCAAACACTTTGTGGTAGCTCTTGGTGGCTCATCCCACTGCCCTCCCCAGTGCTGGACCTACCCTGCCCCACCGCCCAGGCAGCCATCACCCTTCACACACCCACTCGTCCCCTGATCTCCCTCCTCCTGTCACCCTCCACCCCTCCATTCACCTGCCAGCATGTCCCCATGTGCCCACAGCCGGGTGAGAGGCACATTTGCCCCTTTGCCCCTACACCGAGGACTGTGGGTTGCCAGGGCTGCGCTAACACGCACCCCGTGCCCCTTTTGCAGCACATGGGGCTGGCACAGCCCCCCTGTCCCCTCACGGACACTCCGTCCCCCACGGCCACCCCGCCCTGCTGAGCCGTCCCTCACGGGCAGCGCCGGGGCAGGAGCCGCGCGGAGCCACAGCCGCCAGCAGGCGGCGCCACGCCCCTGCCCGCCTTCCCCTCAGGGCCCGCGTCGCTGCCGCTTGCAGCCCCAAACCGGCCTGAAATCGAGCTTTCCATACAAAAAGTGACTGCTGTGTCCCCCGCCTTCAGCTACGGGCTAATAAATCCCATCGCAAGGCCAGCTGGAGCTGTAGACACTGTGTAAGTAGCTACGGCTGCACACCGATATGGTCATACATTCTTACACTAATTATATCCTTTATATTAAATATCGTTTATATTGTACTGTTACACAAATTTATATACTAAAAATACTAGGAAGAAATTCTCCACTGTGAGGGTGGTGAGGCATTGGAAAAGTCYGCACAGAGGTTGTGGATACTCCAACCACAGGAGTGTTCAAGGCCAGGTCAGATAGCGCTTGGAGGAGTCCGGTCTAGTGGAAGGCATCGCAGCTCCAGTTTGTTCCCCTCCAGCCCTTGGACAGGAGGGTGGTCCCAGGCACTGCTGGGCTCTGGGCTTGGGCATCTGTGTCACCTCCAGCCCTCTAGGGGCAGCACCTGGCTTGGAGCACCCTTGTGCCCCACCCTGCTACTTGACCTCCCACCCACAGCATCACCTGAGCCACCTTCAGCTCCCCCCAAAAGGCACAAAACAGGATATTYATTTTGCTCCTTTTCCCATATTCTTCAGCTTACATCTCACCCCACATCGTGCCTGTTCTCTTTCCCCTCCCCTGCAGCCCCATTTGCTCCCTGCCCCCATAGTTTCCTCACCACCAGCCAAAGGGAAGCCACAGCCACCTGGATGCTGGATCTTGGGGCCAACACAATGCTGCAATTTTAATCGAATGCAGTTGGGGGGGAGGATATTAGTATTAATATTATTATTAGCCTCTGTTGTACTGCCCAAACACCAAGCACTGCCCTCTGGCAGCAATTCTCACCCTGGGAGAGGGTGCAGGACCTCTCTTCCACAGCCCCATGAGTGGAGCAGCTCAGCCAAACTGTGCTCACACAGAGACCCTGTACCTTCCCAGTTCCTCCCTGCTCACACAACCGGGGTCAGTAACAATGAAAAGTTCAACTCCCATTATTGCCTCTCAGGCATGGACAAAAGAACAGGGACAAATTTGCATGTGATGCATCAGGCAAAGAAACATGTCCTGTGAGCACTGTAAAGGGGTAAGTTAAATTTTCTGGCATTCTATTTATTCCAACTTTATGTAGCTCAGCTTTACCGAAAAAGGCAAATACCTACAAAAACTTCCCTATTTCTAAACAAAACAAAGTACAAACTGCAGATGAGAGCCAGCATGTGCAAGTTTTATATGAAAAAGCAGAACACCCTCAGATGTTTACAGAAAACAGGTAGCATCATTTTTACAGTTACTTGGTTTTGCATGGAGGTGTGTTTTCTTCTTCTTTCACGTGCTCCCATTCATACACATCCACATATGCCCACCCTCAACTTTCCAAAGGGGCTTCTTCCCTGTCTCCCCCACTGCCATGTCCAAACCCCTGCAAACTCATGAGGGCCTTAATTTACATAGCCCACGTGTGCCCTTCACTCTTGGGACCTGAAACGTGGGTCCAAGAAACGGGACAAGAAACAACAAACCATTTAAGGAAAGCCCAAGACTTTTACTCTAAGGAGAGGGTTTTTGCAATTGTTCTAAAAAGGATATCCATATTAAAAAAAAAAAAAAAAAAAAAAGGAAGAAAATAATAAAATCTCCTTGCTTAGGCAATGGGGAAGTTATTTATTCTCAGCATCAGTGTATTCTGTACAGAAAGAAATCAACAGGTGAATTAACAGCAGAGACATCTTTCCTCAGCATGTCCAGCACAAAACCTCTCAGAGCACCTGGAATCACTTGGATTTCATCTATACAAAAGTGTATGTGGGCAGAGGACTCTGTGTGTGTGTGAGGGGTCTTTACAAAGCAAGATATATACTGTAATTTACTTACAAAAAGAAAAAGTTATGTGCTGAATAACAGATGCTCACTTCCGTCCCAAGCAAAAATGGAGGGACAACGGCAGCTGCTTGGGAACGCAGGTTTTAGATATTTATTTTTTTTCCTATCTAGAAATAAAGAAAAAATGAATGAGAGAAAGAGAGACATTCCCTGGCTTGTTATCCTAAATCTACACAGGCATCCTTCCACCCAGCCTCTGCAAGTTCATTTTAGCTCCCTCAGCAAAGCTGATCCTAAAAAATACTGTGCAAAAGCCCTTCTAATCCCCTGCAGGAACAAGCATTTAACTTTGCTGTCACCCAAAGGTCCCATGCTCCTGGACCTGTGGAGTTGGTTGTGCCCTAGTACCAGGGAAGGAAGCACCCAGGATGTTGTTAGGGGGCAGGGTGATAGATATCCCACCTTTAGCCCTTTCCCTCACTGCTGCCTCCTTGGGGAACATATCCCAGCTGTGGTGGTATGTTCCAGCTGGGAAGCTGGGGGGCTTTCTTTCTTCCTTCCCTCTCTCCCACATCGCATCCCATGCCAGGACCGATGGCTGGGCTGGGGCACAGGGGAGTGGCAGGATGCAAGAGGCAGGTGACAGTATTTACAGTCTTTGGTCTTGGGGAAGAGAGAAAAAGAGGGGGAAAGGCTGGGCTCTTTCATTTTTTTTACCCTCTCCCACCCACAGCAAGGGGTTTTGTCCCTTGGGAGGGGTCAGGGAGCACACGGCACTCTGTGCTGGAGGGTGCAGAAAGATGCCGCGAAGCAGCAGGGAGGGCAGGGCTGCAGGGCGAGGAGCAAAAAAAGACCAGTTCTCTGGTTTATGTTGGGTGAAAGACTAAGAAAGCAGTCCCTTCTCCTTGCAAACCCCCCACCACCTTTCCCCTCCCATTATCCCTCCCCTCCCCAGGAACCAGGCAGCTGAGGAAGGAAGGCAGCACACAGAACCCAACCCCAGTCTCTTCCAGAGCCTAAAGAGACATGCTGAAACCCATGTAAAATCCAGCATTGGGGCCACRGTGAGCCACCTGCAGCCAGCAGGATCACATCTGTCTACTGGCTCCGCAGGGCGTGTGCTCCCCGGTCCTCCTGCTCATGGGCTGTGTAGAAGAGGTGGCACTCGGGGTCCCCGCGGATRGTGGGTGCACCCTGGATCACCTTCCCGTGGATGGGGTCCACACACCAGCACTCGCCACGCTGCCCATTCACTGACATCTTGCACTGCGTGGAGAGGGAMAAGACAGGTGTCAGAGTGAAGAAAGGGACAAAACAACCCACCTCCCATGCCAGCCAGCCCAAGGCCCCAAAACTAGCAGAGCTGGGGRTTCTCTGGTGATCTGGCACTAGTTTGGATTTAGGCAAGGTCCATGGGATCCTGTACTCCAACTCCCCAGGGCCTATGCTGAACCAGCAGTGTTACTCCAGCAGTTCAGGCTGAGGGCTGAACCTCTTTCCCCAGGGGCTGTGCCCGGGACCAAGAAGCCAATTTTAATGAAACAGAAGGACAACTGTCCCTGAAATGCATCAGCCTTTGCCAACTGTGGATGAAAGCATCCTTTTCCCTCGGGAAAGAGGAATGAGACACACAGTCAGAGGAGCTGCATATGATTCTTCTCACCTCCAGATGAGGCTAAACTAACAACAGATCAAGGCCCCCATAGCCAGACTAAATAGAGATTCCAGCAATCCACGAACAGAGGTAGGGACCATGGTGCATCTAGACCTGGATTCTGTCCTCCCAATCTTGTTAGAGAAAAGTTTTTTGGTCTAATGGTCATTGTGCTCCTCGTACCCTGCAGAGCTGCACGCACTTTGAGCCTGATGTTCCTCCCTCTATCCCCAGCAGATACATTTCTGAATAGCAGGCCAGTGCAGGCTGACTTGTTCCCCCAGCACAAGGAGCATCAGAGACTGTTTTTCCTTCTGTAGCACACAAAGTATCACTGCAGTGTCTGGGCTTATTCCCCAGGCATGGCTCATCTTACAGGCAATTTGCCAGCTCTGCTCCATGGAGTGTGCTCATGCTGGGGGATCCAGCCAGCCCATGGGGCTCTTCAGGGSGAGATGGAGGGTGAGGGTCCAAGTGGAACAGAGATAGTAGAATGGACAGAAGGAGACCATCTCAGAGCATCCTATTTTTTTTATTYAATGCTTCTGATCAAGGGGTAGAAGAAGCCCTGAGTAAAAGGCCTAGCCATGAAAAAAGCATGGGTCCCCTCCAAAAGGCTCAGCTATAAGGGATCCTCATATCCAGGTACTATTCACAGGTGACTCTAGTCAACCCTGCACCAGCTGGTGTTCTGCTGTTTTTCATGGCATTTTTTCCCCATTCCTCAGCCACTGACACCTGGTGGTTTTGCATGRATGAAGCCAGGAGTCAGAATTCAGACCCACAAGTTGTAGGAGTCCTTCYGGGTTCCATAAATAACTTAAGAAGCATGCTGCACCCCAACCCTCACCTTTCCTGGAAGAAATCCCTCCTGGAGCTGTGGGACCAGCCYTGACTTGTGGAGGAAAACCAGTAAAGAGCAGTGGAAACTTTCCTGATCCCAAAAGTGCTTTCTGCTGTCTGCAAGACTGGCCAGTAGTATTCAGTCCCTCTCTGCTTTTCTCCTGCACCAGGGCTCAGACAGGACAAGACCTGACTCAAAGTTCATGAAAACATACGTGGACAGTTAAGCAGCTCTTGTGGGGAAGAACTAAACTGATTCTCCATCTCCAGACTGCCCACAGTTCTGTGTGGATGTGGATTTCATCTCCACTTGCAAACCCATGGCTGCAAATGCACCTGGGGGTAATTAAATCTGCTCATGCCACGTGCAGTATTTGCTGTCTACCCATACCTTGCATCATGTGCAAGGTATGAACCCAGCCCTCAACTGTGCATGTTGTGTGTCTGCACTTGGTAGGGACAGACAGTGAGCCAAGGGCTACTCCCACCCTCCCCACTTACCTGTTTGAGATTGTACAAGCCATGCTTGTCACAGTTGGGGATGTGAAGGGAGTAGAGGTGCTCCAGGGGCCCTCGCTCATCTGGCAGTCGCATGGTGGATATGCGTTCCAGGACCTGATCCAGCTCCTGCTGACAAGGGGTCTGAAAGCAGCCCAGAAAGCAGGAAAAAGAATAAATCAGGACAATGGTACCATTTAGCATCAACACTGGACAGYGGGAACACCAGCAGGGATGAACACCTGTGTGCACTTCTTAAGACACAGGTTTGCCACTCCTGCTGCAGACTTCACCTGCAAGCACCCAAAATCAGAGTGCTGCATAGCCATGCACGTCCCTCCCATGTACCTGACGTGGCCAAGAGCCAACATATTACCAGGTCCCAAGTCCTGGATACAGAGAGGAGGAGAAACCTCAGAGAGGCTACCATGAGTCCCACTGGTGGTGACAACATGAAGCAGAGCTAGTCTGGACAGACCAGGWAGGTAAGCCTAGCCCAGAGCCCACATCTGTGATGCAATTTTGGCCCAGAACTGCAACATGTGAGACTCCATGAGAGTGGAGGGCAAAGACCTGGGAATGAGAGTACCCAAAGCCAGCCTCTGGAGGCATCCCTCTTGCTCCACAGCAGCTCYCAAACAGGGCTTCCAGCCGAGTCAGTCGGGTTAAAATATGCCTGATGTGAGCCAAACTGAGTCCACACTTCTGCTTTTGCAGTGGATGAGGCTTTTTTTGCAAAGGAGAGCAATTCAAAGTTGATGGTGCCTGCAACTTATTTTGAACCTCTGTTTTGCCTACTCCTTGGMAGGTATAAAGATCTCTTTTTTAAGACTCCTTCTCTCCCTGCACTGCCCAGATATTAATAGTCTGTATGTTTACAGGGATGTATATTGTGGACTCTTTGGGGTGGGTTTCTATCTCCATCGTCATCCCATCTAGTTGTCTTGATCAAGCTTCCCACTAGAGGGAAGCCACGGCCAAGAACTGAGACAGGGACAAGCAAGGAGATGAGGACTTTGAGCACTCTCCCTGCTACACGACAGTCACACAGCTCATCCTCGGGGCTTGTGGGACCCCTTAACCTGGCCTGGGGCTGCCCTGCAGCAGGCAGACTGACCCACTTCTGCCCCCTCAAATCCCCCTGGGCCATGCCTGCTTAGGGGAAAAGGGTGTGAGAAAGCCAGCCCCATGGGCAAAGGTGATGACGTGGGTGGCAGAAGCCTCCCTTCCCCAGCTCTGCCATCAGGAGGCAAAGCTGCAACAGAAATAATGCTTCCTGACCACATCAAAGTTCATCAGATGGTGTGTTTGGTCCCAGTGTCAGACCAAAAAATGTTTGCTTTTCCTCTTTTTCTTCTCCCCACTTTCATCTTTCTTTCTTTCTTCAATGTATTTTTTCTGTTTTTAAGACAGTTTATTGCAGATGCCACTAAGGCTTTGCATTCAGCATTTCCCAGTGAACCCACAGCTGCCCCGCTCAGCTCCCCACAGTCCCGCTCTCTCACCCTGCCCGTCGACAGCCGTGACTTTTTGGAGTCCTCGTGGTTGTGATGGGCCTTGCTGACTTTGCCCATCTGCCGCTGCTGCTCGTTCACCTTCTCCCGCATCACTGCCAGTTCTTTCATGCCTGTCTTCATGGGCTTCCTCCCTCCAGCTCCGCTCAGGATCCCCACAGTGCCATCCACGTGGTTCTCAGCAAGAATGCTCTCAGACCGGTCATCACCATTATCTGCAGGAGACAGGGCAGACAAGGAAAGAGTCCAGCTCAGTCAGGCGCTGCCTCACGTGTTCATCCCGCCCTGGATCATTTTCAGACGTGGCTGGTTACCAAGCCATAAAACCTTTGCATGCAAAAATTTTAAATTGCATTAGYCCTTTCATCTGGAAGGTGAGAATAGATCCTTTCATTCTGGAGTTATTACCACTTTAAAAGGCAGTTTAAAGCAGGGGAAATCACTGCTGGAGAAGTTCTTTCTGGCTTTTTTGACCTTCTAAATTACTTCCCAAGAATGCAATTTTCCCATCAGAAGTCCAGTTGGATTAGAGRTGCCAAGTGTACTTCAGCTCCAAAACTTAAAACCACAGTGATTAGTAACAATACCTTGAGTCCATCTATCATCCTCCAGAGTATCTCCAGGAATACTTACTCAATATTCATGTGCTAAAATAAAGTCTCAGGCCTGCCTCTCTTTTGTGGCCACTCCAACATCTTTTGGGAGACCTACTCATTTCAATGATCATCATCCTTGCCATACCATCTTTCCCATTGTTTGTCATACGCTGTGTTACTCATTTAGCTTCTACCTACTTCTGCATTTGGCCACTTGYGCTGACAGTGGAACAGTCACAACTCTGCCACTGCTGAAAGCAACAAGATCCCCTTCTCTAGTTCAGCCATTTCAAAATCAGTTAGCAGAAATCTGGGAATTTCTGCACCTTTTTTCCATCTCCTCTGCTTTGTGCTTTATATGTTTTCCCAATTCACCGGGAATTTCTGAGAGCAAACCTTACCAAAGCAAGACACAATGGCTACAACACTACAAACACCAGTCTCTTTGGACTTTGCAGCRAAAATTAGGATAGATCTCAATGCCTCCTGTTTGCTCCAAATGTTCAGAAGGTGACAGCTAATCCTTCCTTGTTGCCTGCTCTGATCTGGGTCAGCAGGCACATCTAATACTATAGCTGAATGTAATGTTAAGGCTGACCCTGCATTAAGCTGCGACCTCTTGAAGCAAGACCTCCAGAGGTCCCTTCCAGTCTGAACTAAGACTGAAATTACACATGCACATCACCCCTTGTGCAATAACCCAGGCCAGGCTTTGTACACGTCTCTATATATTTCTCTATATAAGACTTCTTCAGCAGCTCCACAGGTACCACACCAGGGGAACAGACCAGGCTGTTCTTTCTGGTGGTGGTGACAAACAGAAGGGTCTTTTAGTATTGCCAAGGAAGAACTGTAGCACCCAACCTCCCCACCCTCCCAGCACCAGCCTTCTCTCTGGCATCTCCAATTTCAGCTTTCCAGCATTATGGAACTCAGGCACTTATCTAGAGGTAAAGAAATCATATCAAAACTCTGAATGAAGCAGGGCAAGCAAATGCTTTAGCTCATGTGACAGTGCTTAATTTATGGACCTCTTTTGCTTCTCAGAGGACCAAGCATACAAAGCATTTACAGATGTTAATAGTTCCTTTTTTCAGAATCTGCATCTTGATGTTTTGTCAGGRCATAGCCCTACTGTCATGAAAAATCATAATAGCAAATGTTTTATTTCTGCCACAGCTTTCTAAGTTCTTTCCAGGTATTAAAATCCCAAGCTCACAAAGGAGAAGCTGTGAGAAGGGTTTTGTCTGAACTTACTCAGCCAACRTGCAGCTGCCTGGTGCCAAGATGGCCCAGGTGGGCTGGATCAAAGAGCCATCCAGCCAGCCAGCCTGACATTCATGAGACCATCAGCAGCTGCTTGGAAGCAGAAGGACCATTCTCCATCTGTGGTGCAGACCAGCAGTAAAAGCACTTTCATGGCTGAAGAATGCATCTGACCCATAGGATTTCACAGCCACTAAAGACCCATCCCTCAATGGATTTGTCCAGTCTCTTTTTGAACTTCCTCACAATTTCCAGAAATACTAAATGCATTTGGTCAGCAGGATTTTAGCTGCTTAGGTAGCAATTGAAAAGCAAACATGGGGCAAAACCAATCTGGCAAAGTCCATTACTTTCCTCAATTCTGGTTCAAGATGAGAATTGAGACCAGGTTTGATGGCCAGATGGGCGAGCTCAAAGTCTAGGCTGCTGTCTGGTGATTGCCATCTGGCCATCATCCTAGGAGTCAGACAAGCAATATTTTGAGCAGGAATATTCTGTTTATACGCCAGTCTTCCCGTTAATTAGAAACACATAGTGAGAAGAGAGAAGGCCATGAGGCCGCCTTTAGAGAGGATCAAATAAAAAAGCACCATGAAGAGATGGGCAAGGCTGGCCAGGCCCTGATCCTCAACAAGCTGCTTAGGAGAGTTTTAGCCTTCTGACCTCTTTTGTGCTCCTCTCCTTGGTGTCCCACCAAGTTGTCAATAACAGYAGAACAAGGGCASCAGCAGGGCAGCTTCTCAGACACAYTGAGTCCCCTGCCTCATTCAGAAAATGATGGTACAAACGGACGGAAAAGCAGCAAACTGGAAGTGGTGCCTTCCCCCATCCATTCTCACTCCTTCCTGCCTCCTACTAAAATATATAGACATCTGCCCAAATAAGCACTGTRCTAGTAAATGCAGGCGAGCTGGTAAGCCTCTTGTCGGCTGATTCATTCACAAAACCTGCTTCTGATAATATTTTTGCTCATTTTTCTCRCTTTCCAATGCTAACAAATATCAGCCCAAAGAAAACCACTGATGGGAGTGGAGTGTGCAAGCCAATGTGCATGAACACACCCAGGGACAGGAGAGATTGATCTTGGCTCCCCAGGCACCATCACAGGAGCAAGACTGGATCAGAGGCCAGGAAGATCTAGCTGCTATTGACTCTCCTCCCCAAGGCCATCAGCCATGGTGAGCTATGCCTTTCACCTGCTGCCAAGCTCGGCTGGTCCACCTGGGGCTAATGCCAGAGCCCACTGCAACTTTTTCCTCTCCCAAATCTGGTGCTGCTCTTAGGWGAAGCTATCCTGACTTGGAGCTTCCAGGGATGGCTTAATCACAGGGGAAGAGGGAGGAGACAGAAGAGGTTGGCCCCATGCACAAAGCACTAGCATTTCTTTCAGGACAAGCTGCGTGCACATGAGGACCCTGAGCGCCAGGTGTGATGGACTATATTTGAAAGAGCAAAAGGGCTGGGGAGCAACACAAAGAGTGGAGAGATAAAGAGTCAAGGTCAGGAAAGCATAGAGCATGCCACAAGCTAAACAAACCCTCCTRCAGCCAGATAATGATTTTTAATGCCGCCCAAAAGCTGCAAGTCATGCTTGTTTATGACTATCCATGAACTAATGAAGCCACCTACCTGCCCCTACCAGCATGAGATAGGCAAGTATGCAAYAGGTACAAGATACATAGCCCTAATCTGTCTGTCATCCTGACAAACACTTTTTGCTGACCAATTTCAATTCTCACTAAATATATCTGTAAGGCAGTGGTGCCAAATTCCAAAACAATGGTTTTATAGTTCTTTYCTATGGCATGTGGAAAACATCTCCTGTGTTATTTTGGATCAAAAGRTAGAAAGCCTTGTGCAGGGTGGGACAAGTGTGGCAGGAATCTAAGCAGATAGCTGAAGTTCTCCCGAACACTGATGTAGAGTCCATGAAACACCTCCCTCCTTGCCAAAAAAACCATTTCTTTACAGCCTTTTTCAAGGAAAATTCCCATTGGCTTCAACGGGGCGAGGACTTGGCTGAGGAAAAAGCCTGTTCAAATGGCCATCAGTTAACGTCTGTAGGGAGCTGCGCCGTCTCGCCAGCATTTTCAAAAGCGACTACCAATTTCAAGTGCTAAAATTTTCGGGAATCTGGTTTGAGACCTTTAGGCACCTCTCCGAGAMAGCTGAGCAACAGAGGGGCTGAAAAACAACCTGTCACTTCCACAGCTATGAGAAAAAAAGTACCATACAAAAAAAAAAAAGCAGCTGCCTCAGGTTAAAAATATATTTTTATCCCTTTGAAGAGCCCTGAAGCGTATCTGGGCTGCACGACGGGATGGAGCCAGTAGCACTCACTTAGCACGGGAGGGCCAGACTGTATCAGGGGGAGCACACACCATGCCAAGGACCGCAGCTGCCCTWGCCAGTGCTGCTCCTGCTCTCTCTGCACTTGCTTTCCTTCACCAACACTTTGCCCAGAGGATTTCACATGCATTTGTTTATCTGCCCAGGGTGTTTGTACAGTGTTTAAATGCTGATTAAGATCCCAAGACCCACAGAAAGTTTTATCCAAGTGGCCTTCAACACCTTGCCTGAAACCCACTAACTGAGGGTCCTGGCTGTGTCCTGGGCTGGATGGGGCTTACATCTCCCTTCCACAGCAATCACAGCCTCTGCTGGCCAGCACTTTGTTTCTGAAGATGTCTAGGGGCTTTGCAGTTCATTAATTACCCTGAAGACTGAAAGATGTCCATCCTGGATTGCATATGGTTAAAGAAAAATAAAAGGCACAGAAATATTTAAGAGTTCTGCCCAAAGCCACGCAGGGAATATATGGGTAAATCCAGAAGCCCAAGTCCTGGGCTGGCACTGCACCATGCAGAGGAGTGAGYACACTGCAGGAATGCAGCATCCATGGAGAGATTTTTCACCCTCAGCTGTGTCGTTTTTTACCTAGGTTTGGAGGTTTTTTTTGCCTCCAACTCTTCTAGCTTTTTGTGTCTGCAAGTTCTACCATTTCAGGAAAATTAAAATGCGTGTTCTTTTTGCTTGCCACTTTTTATTTTAAGCCTGTCTCCTGCCTGTCCCAGGAAGCTAACACTTGTCCTGTGCAGCCTGAGAGCAGACAGAGCTTTAAAGCCTGACCTTTCATATGCATAACAGCCCCAGCAGAAGAATTATTTGTAGGAAGGTGGGGAAGGAGCAGACAAGCCCTAAACACAGCCCCAATGACCTCTGTCTGCAAAGTACTTCTGGAAAAGCCCTGGACAGAAATTCCCGTGCAACAGCTCTAGTGTGTGTGTTATGACCTGGAKCTCAGAAACCTCAGAAAAACTTTGCCAACAAGGATTATACTGGCATTACAATTT